TCGCCAACAATCAGCCGCAAACACCGACGCACAGTGTTTGTCACATGTGGCGAGGAGACGTGTCCGGAGGAGGATTTAATCTGACAGCTCAGGATCGCTGCAGGAAACTAAAGTGGGAGGAAAACCGGTGTGTGTGTGTGTGTGTGTGTGTGTGTGTGTGTATTCTTACAGTAGACGTCGACCCGTATGGACCGGATGGCGGGGGATCCCAGTCCGTTGTCTGCCTTGCAGTAGTAGCGCCCCCCTGGTGGCGGCTGATGTTATCGATCTTCAGAGTTTCGTTGAGCAGCAAGGAGTCGCCCTGACGGTCCGAGGCTCCGCCCACCGTCTTCGTCCAACGGATCTGCACAGAGATTTGGGGGGGGGGGGGGGGGGGGGTTATTATACACAGCAGACTGACCACTTTAAACTGGTTTGGACATGTCTTAGATTAAAATGTGTAAACTGGTTTGGACCAGTTTGAACTGGTTTGATTTGGACCAGTTTAAACTGGTTTGGTTTAGACCAGTTTGAACTGATTTGATTTGGACCAGTTTGAACTGGTTTGATTTGGACCAGTTTGAACTGGTTTGGTGTGGACCAGTTTGAACTGGTTTGGTTTAGACCAGTTTGAACTGATTTGATTTGGACCAGTTTGAACTGGTTTGATTTGGACCAGTTTGAACTGGTTTGGTTTAGACCAGTTTGAACTGATTTGATTTGGACCAGTTTGAACTGGTTTGATTTGGACCAGTTTGAACTGGTTTGGTTTGGACCAGTTTGAACTGGTTTGGAGTGTAGATAAGTTTACACTGTTTTGAACTGGTTTGGTTTGGACCAGTTTTAACTGGTTTGGAGTGTAGATAAGTTTACACTGTTTTGAACTGGTTTGGTTTGGACCAGTTTTAACTGGTTTGGAGTGTAGATAAGTTTACACTGTTTTGAACTGGTTTGGTTTAGACCAGTTTGAACTGGTTTGGTTTGGACCAGTTTGAACTGGTTTGGTTTGGACCAGTTTTAACTGGTTTGGTTTGGACCAGTTTGAACTGGTTTGGAGTGTAGATAAGTTTACACTGTTTTGAACTGGTTTGGTGTGGACCAGTTTGAACTGGTTTGGAGTGTAGATAAGTTTACACTGTTTTGAACTAGTTTGGTTTAGACCAGTTTGAACTGGTTTGGTTTGGACCAGTTTGAACTGGTTTGGAGTGTAGATAAGTTTACACTGTTTTGAACTGGTTTGGTTTGGACCAGTTTGAACTGGTTTGGAGTGTAGATAAGTTTACACTGTTTTGAACTGGTTTGGAGTTGAACTGGTCTGGAGTGTAGATAAGTTTACACTGTTTTGAACTGGTTTGGTTTGGACCAGTCTGAACTGGTTTGGAGTGTAGATAAGTTTACACTGTTTTGAACGGGTTTGGTTTGGACCAGTTTGAACTGGTTTGGAGTGTAGATAAGTTTACACTGTTTTGAACGGGTTTGGTTTGGACCAGTTTGAACTGGTTTGGAGTGTAGATAAGTTTACACTGTTTTGAACGGGTTTGGTTTGGACCAGTTTGAACTGGTTTGGAGTGTAGATAAGTTTACACTGTTTTGAACTGGTTTGGAGTTGAACTGGTCTGGAGTGTAGATAAGTTTACACTGTTTTGAACTGGTTTGGTTTGGACCAGTCTGAACTGGTTTGGAGTGTAGATAAGTTTACACTGTTTTGAACTGGTTTGGAGTTGAACTGGTCTGGAGTGTAGATAAGTTTACACTGTTTTGAACTGGTTTGGTTTGGACCAGTCTGAACTGGTTTGGAGTGTAGATAAGTTTACACTGTTTTGAACTGGTTTGGTTTGGACCAGTTTGAACTGGTTTGGAGTGTAGATAAGTTTACACTGTTTTGAACGGGTTTGGTTTGGACCAGTTTGAACTGGTTTGGAGTGTAGATAAGTTTACACTGTTTTGAACTGGTTTGGTTTGGACCAGTCTGAACTGGTTTGGAGTGTAGATAAGTTTACACTGTTTTGAACTGGTTTGGAGTTGAACTGGTCTGGAGTGTAGATAAGTTTACACTGTTTTGAACTGGTTTGGTTTGGACCAGTCTGAACTGGTTTGGAGTGTAGATAAGTTTACACTGTTTTGAACTGGTTTGGTTTGGACCAGTTTGAACTGGTTTGGAGTGTAGATAAGTTTACACTGTTTTGAACGGGTTTGGTTTGGACCAGTTTGAACTGGTTTGGAGTGTAGATAAGTTTACACTGTTTTGAACGGGTTTGGTTTGGACCACTAAACGGATTTGGTTTAGAAAAGTTTAAACCGATTTGGACAGGTCTTAGTTTAAACTGGTCTAAACTGGTTTTGACCAGTTTCAAGAGGTGAGTCATCCTGATTTTCAGGTTTTAATTCTTATCTGAGTGAACTGAACAATTTCCTGTTTCTGAGCCAGACTCTGGGTTCAGTACCGAGCCCAGAGGCAGCGTCTGTCTGTGTGTGTGGTCCAGATTTGTCCTCGTTCTGCATCTGTTGGTCAGTTTTCCATCCGCCCCTCCCACCAGCTGTCCCTTCCTCTCTCCTCCATCATCATCCTCCTCCTCCTCCATCTGTCTCCCTCCCCCTCTCTCTCAGATAGAAAACAACCAGGGATTTTTGTTTTTAATTACTGATTAATCATTAATCTGGAGCGGACTGTAAACAACTGAAAAGGCAGCACAAATAAATAAATATTGACATGTTTTAGATGTTAGACGCTTGTTATCGGTGTCGTTTCTTGTTACCATCTGCTTCTTATGTCCAGATGTTAGTAGACCTCCAGCCCTCAAACTTTAGTCTTCCTCTGTTTTCAGTTTGTGAACTTTTCCCGCCCTGGGTTTCGCCTCTCAGGCTACGTGCAGGCTGCCCTAACGCTCTGGCTGGTGGAGGTTACTGGGTCAGAGCCCTGAAAGGAAAACCCTCTGTGCCCTCGTCTGTATATTTTTTTAGAAAAATCCTTATTGATCCGTGGACTTAATGTGTAGTTTCAGTCTTTATTTGTCCCTAAGGGGCAATTCAATTTGCCACAGTAGCAATAAAACTAGACAAAACATGACAACAGCAGCAGCAGCAGCAACGACGAGGTGAAAATCCATCTCCATGAAAGTTAATGTGAAATGTGATTTTCAGTAGATTAAATAACAGACTTACAGGAAGCACAGAGACGTTTTCACAGCCTTCAAACTTTGTTCTGAAACCAAACCTGCAGTCTCGCCTCCATCAGCATTTTTCCTGCCCTGATTCTCTCTCTCCCACCTGCCCTCCCCCCCCTCTCTCTCTCCCATGGTACAGTCCTCCCACATGTCGGTCGCCCCGCTGCCAGCTGGAGCGAGGCTGACTCTTTATCCGTCTGTGCAGGCAGACGGTTAACAGCCCCAAAACCAGCGACCTGACGATTACAGAGCTAAAAATAGTCTCCGTGCACAGACCCTGGATCCGTGTGACGACGCTCTCCGCACGGCGTCTAATTAACACGACGCCACTGTATCTGTGTTGAGCTCTCGTACGCTCACATATAAAAGAGACAAAACACTGCGACAACTTCACGAGTCACAAACCACAGCGACAACAAGCACCTTTCAGGGCCCCTGGAAACAGTTCCTGTGTTGTTGTTGCACCACGTTTCTGTACTTGCTTTGTTTTCTAAGAATGAAATAAACAACGCAATGTGTTGTCAAAGTGGCGGAGATGTTTATTTAAAGCAACATAATGTTAGATGTGTAATTCAGTGTAGATAAGGACAGCTGCACACGTGTGTTTGTTATGATCGCATTACTTTTGATCAAAAACCAATAACGTCTATTTAGATTATTAATCACAATATTACACAAGGCCTCTTATCAAGCTGCCAGCTTTTAAATTAAGCTCGAGGTTGTTTTAGGCCTGTGCCAAAAAAGAACAAATATAGAAACTGTGAAATCTGTGCGTTTCCGTCACAAATGAGCGTCACCGGCCGCGAGCTGCAGGAAATTCTCAGCAGGCGTCCAGAACTCTGCACAACCGGGCGAGACGCCGACAGCAGAAACAGCTGATCAGACGTGAGTTACGAGTTCGCTACGTCAGAACTTATTCAGAAAAAGTGTTTCCAGCTCCTGTTACTATGACCTGGATGACTGAGAATCTTCATAGACATCTTTCCAGCTCCCATTTAGCGCCTTTACTCTTTTTCCACAAAAACCACCTCAAGGGAGCAACAAAACTGTTTTGCGGGCTCTCTGGTCCTGGCGGCAGCCTTCAGTATTGCGCACTAGGGGAGGGAATCTCTGGGCGCCTCACGATTTGATTATAAAACGATTATCGAGGCATCATTTTTTCTATACAGCTTCTCTGGATTATTACTAAGCATTTAATTTGAGCATTAAAACCCTAAAGAAACTTCTCCTAATTAGCTTAAAAGGACTAGTTTGTGTCCCTAATTGAGTTCATTAAGCTCATTTCTTCAACAACCAGCTGTCAGACTCTGCAAACTGAAATCTAATAATCAGGATGTTGAGTCTGTGAACAGGACAGAGCTGCACACCAGTTCAGTCTGAGCTCGTCCCCGATGTTCTCAACCCTGGACAAGTATGTAGGTTAGTACTGACGACATACAGCTGAGCTAATGAATATTACTCTGTTAATAATTTAACGTTACATAAATAAATAAATATTTTTAGCGCCTTTCACGGGACCCAAGGAGGCTTTACACGTAGTTACAGAACAACATAAAGTCATTCAGGAGTGAATTTCTTGCTAAAGAGCTGGGTTGTTGGGAGCATTTCGGATCTCTGGGGGGGATGAGGTCCAGACGGGTGGGGGGCTGTGACGCTGAAGGTTCTGGAGTCTGGTGTGGGGGACAGAGAGCAGGTCCTGGTACAGGGAGAGGTCGGCTCGCTTTTCCAGCAGTTGGCGAAACTAAACGGTGGATCAAACAGTATGACGTTAACGTAGCAGCTGTGTGCTCATTAGGGACAAACAATCAATCCTTAGATGCATCGACGACGTGGAAGATTATGAATTAATTGACAAATGGCTAAAAATCAGTCTGGTGTCAAGTTTCAGTCTGGCGGTAAACGTGCAGCGCAGGTCGCTGTGAAATCCTCGTGATCCGACCAATGCAAACCGTTTCAAGATACAGTCACCACAGCGCGTCCAATCAGCGCCTCCGTCAGACCAGCCGGGAACAAGCGAAAGCGACTCACCGACGAAGCCTCACAGTAACTTCATCCACCGATGGATTATATTCCAACAGAAACGGTCTTGTTACGCTGTCAAAGGTCCAGACGATCCAATCTAGTAAAACATTTAGTCCGAAACACATTATTCCATCAGGAAATCCTCAGAGACGGCTGCAGGTAGGCGCACCTGATAGGTCATTATAACCGGAATAACTCCAGTTTGGAACTCTGACACCAAATCCGACCCAATAGGCGCTCACATGTCCCTTTCACAGCCTCCAACAGCCAATGAGAGCCCGCGCTGTAAGGAAGGGCCGGCCCCTGTTATTTCCTGGGCAGGCCGAGCCAACTGTGCCGATGACTGGCGCTTCCTGTAGCTCAGACCTACCCTTATCAAAACCTGTGTAAATGGTATTGCTCTAAAATTAAAAGTTGGACTAGGTGAGGCTTTCCGCTGTGGCCCCACAGTGTTTTCCAGCTCATGGCATGCAGGTGCGGAAATGAAATATGTATTGCTTTAAGTCTGTTCAAACTTGCACTCATCACTTGCAGTGATGCTGACTGTTAGACACTGCAGTGTTCTGCAGTTCTGTTCTCTTTCAGATTCTCCAACTGGTTCAAGGGCTGCATTCAGTTTACTGTTGGCTTGCCTGGGATTGGCGTTTTACAGGAATGGTAAGAAGTTAACGTTTCTGCTGCAGCAACATGAAGTTCCACTGAAATCGAATCCTGTCATGGACCAAACATGTCAGAAATAACTGAGTGTGTGGTGCGAGAAACAAGACATATCATTTACCCAGTGAGAGAGGAGCTTACATGCCGGTACTGCAACCCGCCGGTACTGCAACATGCCGGTACTGCAACCCGCCGGTACTGCAACATGCCGGTACTGCAACCCGCCGGTACTGCAACCCGCCGGTACTGCAACACGCCGGTACTGCAACCCGCCGGTACTGCAACCCGCCGGTACTGCAACCCGCCGGTACTGCAACGCGCCGGTACTGCAACCCGCCGGTACTGCAACGCGCCGGTACTGCAACCCGCCGGTACTGCAACGCGCCGGTACTGCAACGCGCCGGTACTGCAACACGCCGGTACTGCAACCCGCCGGTACTGCAACACGCCGGTACTGCAACACGCCAGGACAAACTAACACTGTTTTATACAAACACATAACTTTGTGTGTTACATTAGTCGAATTTACAAAAGGGAACAAATAAGGATTTAGCGTTTCACAAAGTTTATAAAGTGTCCTCTTCTCTTTCTTTAAGGGAGTCACCTCACGCACAGACAGAAGACCCGTTCGCCGGCGTTCTCTGATCTTGTGCACTCGGCAGCAACACTGTGAACGTCGCCGTGAGCGATGCACCGTTCCTGATTGTAAAGTCCGGGCACATCTGGATGGAAACAGGACCGTTGTTTATAATAATTACTCTGTACGCCATTAAACAAGAGGGAAAATGTATAGAAATCGATTATTTCTTGCTCAAGACAGAGCAACATTACCGACTAGTCCAACAGGAAGAAAGTACAAAGCGCAGGTGAGCTGACAGCTTCCCTCTGTGTGTTTCTGTCATTCAGTCCCACCTGAAACAGGCAGACTAATTAACACCAGGAGCTAATGTGCTGCGTTCACTGTCACTAGAGACGCAGGTGTGAATGTGTGTTCGGAAAAAATCCTCCCTCACTATAACAGAACGTTCATTGTGTTGAAGTGTCTGATCACTCTGCACAGGCAGCGCTGCAGCTAATGATTATTTATTTATTTCATCTATAAACTGACAGGAAATGCCCTGCGGCCGAGCTTGTTTTATTCAACCAACAGTCCAGAACCAAATAAATCTGATTTACTGATCGCAGCTCTACATTTACTGATTTATTACAGGCCCGCTGTGTTAGACTGCAGTGACCAACGGCGGTACGGTGGCCCTGAGAGCTCAAAACGCCACAACTTAAAGCATCATTATGTGGTAATTTTATCTTAAAATATCATCATATCATTTTGACGCTGCACTGATGTGCTACAGGCTGATCTGTTGTTACCACTCCGACGCAAACATTTTGATCGCGACAACGGCGTTAAATCACTGTTCTGCAAGCTGTTAGAAGCAGCAACAAGTGATTATTGTTCTTTGGAAGAAGCAAACTCGGTGAAGAGACGGAAGAAGACGAGGAAGAGAAAATATCAGACCGGCTTTTAAGGATGCAGCACTGATGTCGAGCAGCTGCTGGCAGGTAAGAGAGATTTTATGGACTGTAAAATTCTCACTGCAGCTCAGTCAGGAGCTGAAATATGCAACAAGTTAGGAACCGATAAGCAGAATCCAAACGCACGGGTCTTATCACCTCCACGCTGTAGGAAATTTGGTTCCACCTTGGAACCGGTTCTCGATCTCCAACCCTCGCTTTCAGACTAAAACCATTTTCTCGTCCACACAGGTGGACGGGTGTTATTATCATAACAGAGTTTTTACTCCTTGCGTTTAAAAAAATGTCTTACTACATGAAAAGCCAAGGTCGGCGATACGACCCTAACCTTAAAGCCACGTTGGCCAATCGGAGCCGAAGGAAATCGTAAACAAAGCAGGCAGCGGTGCACAATCTGACATCAAACACAGCGGATAACGGCTGCGCACTCGCTCTAGCGACTGGTGTCGAAAAAAGTGATTGTGCTTCTAAAATAAAAACGCAAGAACGTCTTTTGCAGAAATGCTTTATGTCAAGTTTATTAAGAGCTTTTACTTTGAAGAGTTCTGAAGCACATTGAAAACGCCTTCGGTAAACGTGTCATTTGATTCCCCTCAATCTCCTCAGGGAAATGAAAATAAGCCTCCACAGGTTTATGAATGCGGATCAAACGCCGCACACACGCTGCAGCGCATGCTTTATTGTGAGCATGTGCAAAAGTGTCCTTTGATTCAATTTGTTTAACAAGGGAGAAAAGATGGAATCGATCTCGCTATCTACCCGCAGAGTCACGACTGAGCTAAACGCGTGCACGATTTCGTACGGTTTGACTTTGCTCTGGCCCGCCATATAACGGCTTGGAAAAAATTCGGTGACCTGGTGCTGCGTTTCTGTCACGGTTTTGCGTAGACAGGGCCTGAATGTTAAAACTTTATTGTTAATGACGTGATGTCAACGAGAGCGAGAGGCTCCATCCACGCTCCCACAGCCCGTGACGGCAAAGATGGCGGTTATCCCGCCCCTCCCGCTACAAAGCCAATCGTCTGCTTTTAACAGCCAATGCGGGAAACATATTTCAGCCAATCGTGCGGCTCCACTGATGTAAGAGTCTGTTTTACTTCTACTGCGCATGCCTGGTAGAAGTAAAACCGGTCGGGAAAAACGCTTTTTAGACCTTATTTTGGGGCAAAGTCATCAAAGTTTTTCAGCTATTTTTTCAGATTTTATGTCCTGGTGACCCGTGAAAGTGCAGCTCTGGCTCTCTGCCCATTCTTTCAGACAGGAGCCTGGTCATGTTATAATACCGTTGCCAAGATGGCGGCCGAGTGGCGGGATTTGCCTGTAAGGACTTTGACACTTTCTGCGATGTTTCCTCCCGTCCGGACCGAGACGGTCAAGTCTGACCAGTGCAAACCATTTCAGACTTCACTGTCTGGTTTTAACCTCCGGGGCGGCGCCTCCGGTGGTATTAAAATACTTTGTACTGTGCTTTGCGTCGCCTCCCAGTCTGTTTCCCGCCGCCACCGTCTCTTTGCTTTCAGTAACGGTTCCACCTCGCTGTCGCTCCAGCAGAGAAATCTGTAGGTGAACGGTCACGTGATGTGTCTTTGTTTTAATAGAGACGGAGATCAATTCTGACACACAGCTAAAACGCTGGAGTGGACGGAGATCTATTTACAAAAAACGTAGTAGTGTGGATGCAGAGAGAGAGCGAGCGAGAGCGAGCGAGGTGTTAAAGAAGAAGAGGGGATGTAAGAAAAGATGCGGTGAAGCTGAGCTCTGCAGTGACGCAGAGAAAGTGTGTGTGGGATTCAGACTGTGTGCCAGCAGCAGCTCTATTTATAGCCTGGACACTCTGACAGCAGAGAGACTACAGAGAGATGATGATGATGATGATGGAGAGAGGAAGAGGAGGGGCAGCATGAGAAGAAGAAGAAGAAGAAGAGTGGAGGACAGAGACGCTGATCTAACCTGAACTGGATATTTTCCACATTTCTATTCTAAAAGCTCTGTTTTCTGTTACACCGGGACTCGTTCCTCGTACGTGAGGAATCATTGAATGTAAAACAATATTGTCAAAGCTACAAATAAATTACAAAATTAAATAAAGTAAATAAAACAGTAAAATTGTGTGTGTCAAAAAAGAATAAATAAATACAAATAAATATTAAAAATAAAAATAAATAAATAAAACAGTAAAAGTGTGTGTTAAAAAATAAAATAAATATTAAAAATAAAAATAAATAAATAAAAACAGTAAAAGTGTGTGTCAAAAAAGAATAAATAAATAAAAATAAATATAAAAAATAAATAAATAAAAACAGTAAAAGTGTGTGTGTCAAAAAAGAATAAATAAATAATAAATATTAAAAATAAAAATAAATAAATAAAAACAGTAAAAGTGTGTGTGTTAAAAAAGAATAAATAAAAACAGTAAAAGTGTGTTAAAAAAGAATAAATAAATACAAATAAATATTAAAAATAAAGTAAATAAAACAGTAAAGGAACAATTACTAAAATAACAAACAATGAGAATAATAATAATTTTTTAATAATATTATTATTATAATAATAAGTCAGTCTAGTCTGAGTTTCCACTGTTTCATCCAAGTTTCCAACATCGGAGTAATGAGCAACTGGAAAGCTCTGATATTTATGACTCGGTCAAAGATGGCCACCAAGACGGGACTGAGAACTGAAGTTAAAACCGTTTTAAAGTGTGTGTGTTCAGGAGCGGTTAAACCTCCTCTGGTGATATTTAAGCGTTCAGTTAATTGACAGTTAATTAAGCAGCAGCTTCCAGCCCGCAGCAGAGGTTTTAACGAGCTGCTGGGAAATAAACATCAGCGGCGGCAAACTCCCCGACCATCACGTTTCACGCCGTTTCTGTTCCACTCTAAAACACGGGGATTTTTAACTTTGAGCTTAATTTTGTCCCACTTTCTCTCCGACACAGTGAAGTAAACGCAGCATGTAAAGTTCAGGTTCGGATGGATAGAGCGAGCTGTCCACGTTTATTTAAAGTGTTTCTGGAAAATAACAACAAGAAAGGTTTTTAACAAACGAAAGGTTTATTTGCACAAGAACAAAACATACAGTGAAACTTAAATCTGGAAGAAACAAAAAAGGAACTTAAGGAGTTGTTTATATTAAATCTTAATAACGTTAATGACGACGGCAGCTGTCACTTCTTCTTCTACCGTCTGCTTCTTCTCGTTCCCAGACGGTGGCGGCAGCTCTTCTTCCTCTTCTTCGGGTGCGTTTGAGTTCACGCGGCGCTGCGCAGCGCTGACTTCGCCTGATGCATGCTGGACTTACAGTAAGGCACGCTGGTGAGAAATTGTGTCCGACTTTTCGCCATGTCACGTGACATTAAAAGCTCGCAGGAGCAAAGCGGCTGCAGTTGCTTTTCTCCGGCGGCACATTTTACTTTGCAAATGTTGCAAGATGACTCACTGATCTGAGCTCACGCAGGAAGAATGTGTCCGACTTTTTATAGCACGCCTGTAGCTCACGTCACGTTAGACTGTCAAGTCTGCGAAAGTCAGCCGTAGCCATCTCGAACGCACCTTTTCTTCTTCTTCTACTTTTCTTCCTCTTTTTTCTCTCTCTTCTGCTTCCTCCTCCTCTTCCTCCTCTGCTTCTTCTTCTTCCTCCTCCTCTTCCTCTTCTTCTCTGTGAAATTGCTCTCACTTATGAAACATTAAGGCGTCGGAGCAGCTCAGCTCAGCGGGAGCTCTGGCACTTACAGCATGCCGCCGGGGATGATGGGAGGTTTTATTACTGTATGTGCTCTGCAGAGTCAGTAGGGATTAAGAGTGTGTGTGTGTGTGTGTGTGTGTGTGTGTGTGTGTGTGTGTGTGTGTTCACTTCCTGCTCTTTTGCAGCTTCACTCTCCATCATGTTTCTCTGGTGTTTTAATCGGCTACAAAGACGCTGAAGACGTCACGTGTGTTTCTGTTTGTCAGTTCTCAAATAAAGGCCCGCCCCTTTTCAGGCAGGGGGGGGTTATAAATTAACTTTCTCTGGTTAACAGTGATCCTGATTTCCAGTCGCTTCTACATTCTTGATTTTGTCGTGTATGTACACATCCAGTATCTCACAAAGTGAGTGCACCCCTCCCACAACATGTGACTATATCTCTTTATGCTTCAACACTGAAGAAATGACCCTTTGCTCCAGTGTAAAGTAGTGAGCAGCTTGTATAACAGTGTAAATCTGCTGTCCCCTCAAAATAACACATCACACAGCCGTTAATGTCTAAACTGCTGGAAACAAAAGTCTCTAAGAGAAAATAACCCGTGTGCGGTTCGTTCTTTGATTATTTCGTTTCAAAACCAAGTCGGTTTTTGTACATTTTGACCTGTGAAACCAGTATAAGTACCCAGTAGAGTTCCCAGTGTACCCAGCATGTTGTTACCTGAGGTCGGGGGTGTCCTGTCACCAGACACTGCAGCTCCAGAGTCTCGCCCTCTCTGATGGTGTAAACTCTCTCGCTGTAGCGCTCCTCCTCCACGTTACACGTCTGACCTGAGTGCACGATGCGCACAGTAGGGGGCGCTGCGGACCACAACACAGAAACAACACGTTCAGCGTGTGTCACGCGACTTTCAGCACAAAACAACACACAAGCGGGAGATTGGGTCAGTGACGGAGAGCTGTTACCTA